CCTAAAGGAGGAGGCTTATACCCTGTAGCCGATGGATGGTGACAAGTCTGCCACAGGCTGGGTTTGTACCAACGTATGGTACGCTTTTAGGCGGGGTCTTAAGCAGCTAGCAGATTCAGGGAGGAGCTGCCGGCACAGCTAGGCTTTGGGCAGCTTTTCTTTGTTGGAAATTCTCTGAGGATGAGGTTTGGAGAAAGAGAAGTGGGGGCTTTTGCAGGAGCAAGCTGGAAGTCTCAACCAAACATCATGTATGAGAAAAGAACCTGAGGCAACTTGGAGTCTGTGTTTTTTTTTGGTTTTTTTTTGAGACAGTTCCAGGCTGGACCTATTTCCCAATGAGAATCAGCAAATTCTTGTTACTCTAGAATCTAAGACTGGGATTTCAATACAAGCCAGCACTCTCAACAGGACTCATGGTCTTTACTTCCCTATTCTTATCTGTCTTTCAAAAAGCATATTCCATTTCTCAGTCTCCCTGTTCTTTTCCTTTAATTAGGGAAAAGTCAGCCTAGAATGTTATCTCTGGAATTTGACCCAATGGTTTTTAGAGCTATTCAATATCTGAAGTATATTCTAGGCAAGAGGGATTATATCTTGTTGCCTGGTACAGGAGGGCTCAGCCCACTGTGGGCAGTACCATCCCTATGCATGTAGACCTGAGTTTTACAAAACAGCTAAACATGACCTAGGGAGCAGTCCAGTAAGCAGCATCCCTCCATGGTTTCTGCTTCAAGCTCCTGTCTTGGCTTCCCTCAATGACAGACTGTGATCTCTAAGATGAAATAAACCCTTTCCTTTCAGTCAGAGTTGCTTTATCACAACCACAGAAATCTTTTAGAACTCTTGGCATATTATTACCTAAGTGATGCACAACAGCCTGTATGCTTATGGTTGCTGTATACAAGAGGTGAGGCCACAAGACACCTTTGGGTAGTCACTCAAATTTCACTCATTCATTCATTTATTCATTTGATCAACAGTCACACTGATTTCTACTTTATGGAGACAGAGCCACTCACATTGCTTTGATAATTTCAATTTGTCAGTCCAGATGGATTGCTCACGATGACATTGAGGCTAAGAATTTAAGTCTTAAGTCAAATTCAACCAGGTGCAGACTAAGAGAATGCGTATTCCACATGTGTGAAAATGCGTATTCTAGATACAAATGTTTAACCCTTGAAACCAAGAGGTAAAGAGTCCCTCCAGTGCTATACCTGTTACCTCAAGTGGACATACCTCTCTCTGCTTCAGACTGTGTGTACTCCTTTGTTCTTCATAAATAGAACACACTAGGGACTATGTGTATATATCATACATTACCTGGCCAAATGAAGTGACTGTATCTTACAAGGGTGGGAGGTGCTGTTTTACATGAGAGAGATGTGTACAGGCTAACATCCTGGTCAGTTGCTAGGCAAGCCTCACTGGCTATAGGGAGTGATACCCACAGTTGTTGTCTTTTTCACATCAGTGGAGTGTTGCTCCACCAACTGACCAATCTCATACTAGGAAGCAGTGGGCAGAGGGACTCAGAAATCTGCTGGTGATTGGCTACCATTGACCAGCTTGGGATTGATTCTACATTCTTTGATTGAGTCATCACACACAGTGAACAAATCTTATGCTTCAATTATTCTGACATATACATTCACCTGTTCTGGCCTCTGTCTTCAATTGGCTGTGCCTGTCATTAAACTTCATGTCATTAGACTCGTGATAATATATACTTTTTGTGTCTGGCTTCTACTCTAGAGTGGTCTGTCACATTGTGGTGTTTACCACATTTGTTCTTTTCATTGCATGACAGCAATATATCACATGGAACATCAAGGAGGATTTACTCATTGTAACAGTTCTAGGCTAGTAAGAGCTCCATGAAAGAAGGCAGATGGGACCAGGAGATGGCTCAGTTGGTAAAGTGACTGTTATGTAAACACAAGGACCTGACTTTGGATAGCCAGCACCCAGGTAAAAGCCAGGAGTGGTGGTGCACATCTGTAACCCTAGCACTAGGAGTATGAGTGTGGGTGTGGAGACAAGCAGAGCTTACTGGCCAGCCAGCCAGTCTAGCCAACTGGTTAGATTCAGTGAGAAACCTTGTTTCAACAAATAAGGTAGCTCGTGATAGATGAGAGGTACCTGACATCAACCTCTGACTTCTACACACAGGTAGGTGTACGTACACATGTACACACACACACACACACACACACACACACACACACACACACACACACGGAGAGGGGGGGAGAGAGAGAGAGAGAGAGGGAGGGAGGGAGGGAGGAAGGGAGGGAGGGAGGGGGAGAGAGAGAGAGAGAGAGAGAGAGAGAGAGAGAGAGAGAGAGAGAGAGAGAGAGAGAGACTCACAATACCTTACCTACTTAAAGATTAAAGTGATTGCTGGGTATGTGATTCCAGCCCTTAGGAGGCAGAGGAAGGAGGATCTCTCTGAGTTGGAGGCCAGCCTGGTCTACACAGTGAGTTCTAGAACAGCCAGGACTACATTGAAAAAAGAAGCCATGGTTACATCCAGGTCCTTGAGCTGCTGCCGAGGGCCATGTCTTGTTACTGTGACCCCCTGTGGCCATGTTGGTGTCTAAGGGCCATTCAGCCACTGGGGCCATGCAGATCTGGATGGTCTGTGCTACCACATGGGTCCATGGTGACATCTGGGCCAAAGCTGCTATTGAGGGCCATGTCTGGGTCCATGGCCCTACTGCAGCCAGGGTCTGTGTTGATGTCCATGGCCTGTGTTACCACCAGAGGCCATTCAAATTACTCATGTTGAAATCTGAGGGCCATGCTGAGTTGGCCCCCGCCCTTCACTGAGTCTGGGAGATCTGGCCCTGCCCCTTGCTAGCCACTGCAACAGGAGAGCTGACCTCAATGGTGTGGGGACAGGAGAGCTGGCAGTGAGGGGGGTGGTCCCAGTGGAGGCCCAGACTGATCAACTCAGTTACCAGGGCTTTGAGTTAGCATACCCCAATATCTACCCTATCTATGACCTGCTGGAGCATGTGAAGGGGCTGGTCCTGTGGAACCATAGCCACAGGACTGTAGACAGTTCCTGTGTCTGGCCAGCAACTCTCAAATACCCAGCAGTCACTTCCCAAATAATTGACTTGGAGGCTTAATATTATTCATAAATGCTCAACTGGTAACTTAGGCTTATTACTAACTAGCTCTTACACTTAAATTAACCTATAACTCTTATCTATGTTTAGCCACGTGGCTTGGTACCTTTTCTCAGTCTGACATTCTCATCTTGCTTCCTCTACGTCTGGCTGGTGACTCCTGACTCTGCCCTTCATCTTCCCAGAATTCTCCTAGTCTGCTCGCCCAGCCTATACTTCCTGCCTGGCTACTGGCCAATCAGCATTTTATTAAAACAATTCGAGTGACAAATCTTTATAGTATACAAGAGCAATATACCACAGCACAGGACCTCCATGACTCAGGACAACACAAGATATCTGAGAAGACTTTTGGTGAGGGGCCAGTCATTGATGGTGTACCAGAAGCCAGAGGCCTTGAACCAGACCAACAAAACTCATTACAGTAAACATTTGCAAATAAAGCTATTTGGACAAAAGGATATATTGTATGCTACTAAGATGAATGGAGAAGTGATGGAGAGGCAGGATGGAGCAAAAAAATGGAGTAAAGTGGTTTTTTATTTGCTTTCTTTTTCTAATTAATATTTTTATTTTTTGGGGGGGAGGGTGTTGGGGGCCCAGTAAACAGCTTTGGAACTCATGGAACATGGCTGGGTGGACAGCAAAACCATACTTGACTATGTGCCCTGAGGACCTAATGCTGTTATTGAGCACAGCCCTGCTTATTGTCCTCACAGTCAACATGTCCCTCATTGGGCAGTGTTACTGGTACTTACAATAATAGTGATTGACTTTTCCCAAGCATTGCTACTGGAGCAGATTAATGATTCAATCACCACCCTTACAAAGATTTTGACATGTAGACTGCCAGTAAATTTAGGTTAAGATGTTTTTGCTAATGTCTTAGAGGCAGAAAATCTTGGGGAACAATTTAAAGTTTAGAAAGGCACATCACTTGTCCCAATAACCCCAGCATCCAGGGACAAGAATAGGTGGATTACAGGAGCTCACTAGCCAGCCAGCCTATCTTTAGGTTCAGTGAGAAAACCTGCTTCAAAAACCTGAGGTGAACTGAGAAAGCCTCCACCACCCTCCTCTAGTCTTCACATGCACATACATGCATACACACCACATACATGCATATTACAAACTGTAAGGCAGGAAGTATATACAAGTACAACATGCTCAAATTCACTCTGTAAAATGTACATCTTTAAGATTAAAAAATACAAATCTTTAAAAAAAAAGTTTATCTTTGTAAGATATTCAAGATACCTCATTCCATAAGGGATCTATTTCTTACTCCTGGTAAGGGTCCAACATATGGGACTGATCCAACTTAGGGAATCCCATCGCACCAGCATCTCCAAAGGAATAAAGACAACTTTCACTAAGAGTCATTCTAGGCATGTCCTGCTAATGTGTCTCTTCCATTTAGAAAGCCACTATTCCCACCCTATCTGGTAGCATCACTAACACATTAAACAACTAAAAACTTCAGAACTAACATGTCTAAGTTATAGTCATAAGGGTCAGAGGTAGCTATATTTTAGGAGAGGGACACAATTCCTTATTTTAAAAGATGTTGGTGCCAAGGAGTTTATTGGGTCGAGATATTTATACACATCATATCCTAAGCAACATTCTAGCAACACAGTAATATCTAACACTTACTTGACTTTACAGAGTGCCAGGTTGCACTCTTCAGCATGACAGCCATTAGCTATAAAGCTACTGAGAAACTAATTATAGGCAGTTAGTCCCCAATTCATAGAAAATAAAACTAGAAATATTTTAAATAAGTTTAAGGTATATAGCATTTATCATGTTTAAAATACAATATGCAGACAACCTATTATATCCAGATATTAACAAACCAGACAATATTAAAATAATTTATTTTTTAAATTTTCAATAAATACTTGCTACATAGCTGTATCTTCAAAGATAAATCAACTGTTCTGAATTATTAAGAAATTAAACTTTATAAAATTTTTATAAGAAAAAATTATTCATTATACAGCATTTAAGTCTAAGAGCAAAAATTTGACACACCTGTGGCAAGTTTTAAAAAGTACATCAATCAAGACACAATCTCAATATATGCCTATTCTATAACATCAGTCTATTGATCATTGACTTCCTCACTGCTACTCCCTCCTGCTTCTACCTCTAAAGTAAGTCCTTACTACAGAACAGTGAGTGGTTTTCTATTAGAGGTGTCTCTGTTCCTATGCGGCACTTGGTACTATCCATTAAAATTTTGGTTGTTGCTGGGCATGGTGGTTCATGTACTTTGGAGACAGAGGCAGGAAGATCCTGATTTCCGAGGCTATTCTGGTCTATAGAGTGAGCTATAGAACAGCCAGGGCTACACAGAGTAACCCTGCCTCAAAACCCACCCCACCCCCATTTTTTTGGGGGGGTGTTGTCTTAGCAAAGGAATGCTAAATGATATTGAGTGTACAGGGTGCAGAGATGCTATTAAACATCCAACATAGGTCAGACACCTACAACAAAATTAACCAGGCCCAGTGCTGGTAGTGGTAAGAGTTTTGTCAACTCATAAAGAACTTACTCCCATCTTATGACTAACATCTCTTCCACTATAATTATGAGCAGATTTTGCTAAATGGTAAGTAACTATTTAAAAGTTAAGCAGTTACCATTACCACTAAAAGTAATAGTTAACTTTAAGTAGTAAAATAATTTCAGAATGGTTAAAGCACAAAATCAACCAAAAGTGACAAAAATTAGCATACAGAACTGGCCTTTCCAATCTGTGGGCCAACCACCCAAGGTTTCAAACCAATCATATGTTAATATTTGATCTGTACTGAATATGCAGACATGTAGACTTTTACTTAACACAAAGCATAGTAAAACAATCATTTGTTAGCATTTACATTGTATTCAGTGCTACAACCAACCCAGAGATGAGGTGAAGAGTGAAAGATGTGTGTAAGTCAAATACAATGTCATCTTGTATAAGACTTGAGCATCCAGAGATTTGATTATGAAGGGGGTCCTGAAATTATGAGGGATGACTGGATACCATTTATTCTCCCTTGAACCTGCTCTGCCTGTTATTAATGTTATAATTATTTTAAGGATTAGGGACTCAATAACCCATGACCTCATGCCTGCAAAGCAATCATGGTACCACTGAGCTGTATCCCTGGCCTTGACCAGTTAATATATAAGTGCTGTTTTGAAGCAGCTAAGTAGTCTCTTTTGCTCATTTTTCTGTCTTTATTTAATAAGACCACTTAGAAATTCGTCTACAATGATATAATTTAATGGTATAAAAAAACACTTGGCAAATAGCAAAGTGTTCTGAAAATGTTTGTCAAAATGTAAAAAATGAAGAGTTCTACTTATTTCTTCAATCGTGTCAGTCATATATTTGGACAGGCTAATTAACTTTTATTTATGGCATAATTTTGCAATAACCTCTCATAAATGTCCTTTACAAACATCAGTGCATACACATGGGATAGATAATACAAAACTGTAAGTCAGTGGGCTTTTTTCTCAAACAAATTCTGGTTGTAAAATACCCATGTATCATAAAAGGGAGCTCAGTTCAAAACAAAAGAAAACAAAAAAACATTCTTACTAGGTAGAAAAAATTTTCAATTCATTTACACATTCACATTCTATGTATTTTCTTATGGTCAACAAACTGACTCAAATGGTTTAAGTTATCCCACCATTTAAAGAGAAAAGTGTCTACAATAATTTTAAACCATGGAGTTAACTTAATTTCACCACTGGCTGCTTTCTTCATAATTTCTTTGAGTTCTTCCTTTGATACATAGAGATAGCTTTTAATCTCATTGGGATCTGGATTCAAGGTTACATTCTTCCTCAGAAACAAAATATAATCAATTTCATGTTCACCCCAGATACCATCAGATTGGGCCTTGTAGTAAATTCGTGTTAGATAATGCATTTCATTTGGATCAACCTACAACATAAAAAGAAAACTCAATTAATACCATCAACCAAGTCAGACACAGTGTACCTATCTTTAATCTCAGTACTCAGCAGGCAGAGGGAGATGGTTCTCTGAGTTTGAGGCCAGTCTCATCTACATAGCAAATGCCAAGCTCATCAGGGATGTGCAGTGAGACACTGTTTCAAAAAATTAAAGAAAAACTGACTAACGACAAAAAATAACCTAAAATCAACACATTTCAAGAATATCTTGTTTTTAAATATACATTTTGTGTATGAGTGTTTTACCTGCACATATGCCTGTGAACCACTTGTGTGCCCAGTGCCCTGGGAGACCAGAAGAGGGCAACTGCTCTCCCAGAACTGGAGATAGAAGGATATAAGCTGCCATATTGGTGTTGAGTATTAAACATGAGTTCTCTGGAAGAGCAGTCAGTGCTCTTAACTGCTGAGCCATCCCTCTAGCCCTTTAACAATATCTTGAATGGCAGCAGAGTAGTTTTACAATCAGAGGTTTTTTATTTGTTTGTTTTTCTAGACAGGATTTCTCTACGTAGCTTTGAAACCTATCCTGGAACTTACTCTGTAGACCAGGCTGGCCTCAAACTCATAGAGATCAGCCTGCCTCTGCCTCCTGAGTGCTGGGATTAAAGGCATGTGCCACCACGCCTGGCTACAATCAGAATTTTTAAAGTATTATTCTCCTATTGATGATATATGGAAAAATTATCACTGAGTGTCTAAATTTTTTATTCCCGAGACCAAACATAAGTTAATTTTTTTCAAAATATTAAAAAAGTTACTCAAACTAGAACGTTACTCAATATAGGTTATTCAAAATAGAATGCATTCATATTTTAAAGTTGCTATTACAGAAAAACATTTACTATTTCAACTAGATGTGAGACACTTTGTCATACTCTTCAAAGAAGACAGTAAGGCATAGTGGTGTACATCTTTAGTACCAGCATGCTGGCTGAAAACTGACACAGGCAGATCTCTATAAGTTAAGGCTAGCCTGGTCTACACAGTGAGCTCCAGGTTAGCTAGCCCTAAATTTTGGTTTCTTAAAATCATGGTCCTAGTTTTGCTCAATATTGATATACCAGTCTATATGATGGCTTTTTTAATTGATCAAATCAGAGATGAATGCTGCCTTGTGGACATCCTTAAGAACATGAACCACAATTCTGAGTGAATGGAAATAACCTATTCCTTCCTTGGAATTGTTCCCTTAAAAAATACTCATTTTTGAGGCAAGGTCTTTCCAAGTAGCCCTGGCTAGCTTGGAACTCACTATGTAGATAAGTCTGGCCTGAAACTCAGAGAACCATCTACCTCTGCCTCCGAGTACTGGGATTTAGCTCAGTGAGGGCCTGCTAAGCATGGGTGAAGAACTGGGTTCCATCCTCAGTACCACATAAACTAGGCATGATGGTGCATACTTGTACTCTCAGCACCAGGAAAATGAAGGCAGGCGGATCATCAAGGGCATCTTCAGCTAAATGAGATCCATCATATCTCAGAAAGGAGGCTGGAGAGATAGCTCAGCAGTAAGAGTACTGGCTTGATCTTCCCCAGGACTCAAATTTGAGTCCTAGCACCAACATGGCAGCTAACAACCAGCCTTAACTCTAGTTCCAAGGTACTCCACTCCCTCTTTCAGCCTCCTCCTGCACTGCATGCACATGGCACACAAGACATACATGTAGGAAAAGCACAGACATGAAACAAAAATAGGTATCACATTTTTTTTTTTTTTAAAGAGGCTGGAGAGATGACTCAGCAGTTAAGAGAACCACCTATTCTTCCAGAAGACCCAGGTTCTGTTCCAACAGCCACATGGTGGTTCAGCTATTTGCTACTCGAGTTCCTGGGGATCTAACACTCTCTTTCTGGTCTCCTTGGGCACCAGACATATATGTGGTGCACATCAATGTAGGCAAACCATAAAATAAAAAGTTATTTTTTAAGAAAGAGAAGCAAAAAATTTGGCTGGGTTTGGAATGCATGCCAATAAACCCAGGACTTAAGAGACAAAAACAAGCATATTATTTGTTGGAGACCAGTAGGAGCTGTACAGCAAGACACTGTTTCAAAAAACAAAATAATAAAAATGTACACAATATTCCTTATTGAAGGGCTAATTCTGTAAATCAGAAAGTTATAAAGCACAGACTATGTACTACTGTAATCACAGCAAATGGGAGACTGAGGTAGGAGGATCAAGAATTTAAGCCCAGCTTGGACTACAGAGTGAAACTGTCTCAAAACAAAATTCTTGGTCTGGAACTGTAAGTTAGTGGAAAAGTACGTGTCAGGAATGTACAAAACTCTGGGCTCCACTCAAAGCATTGCTGAAAATTGCTTTTTGGTTATTAGTCAATATCTTAACATACTGATTTAGGTTTCGATTGTAGGCTGTCTAAGAAGACTGATTACCTCTTCTAAAGGAATTCCCAATTCAGCTTTTAAGCGCCTCTGTGCAGCTCGTTTTACACCAATGGCGTTGTTTTCTTCAAGCTCACCTGGATTACTTAATGGATGACTACAGCAACTATTGGTGAAACAACCTGGAAAATATTAATATGAACAAAGATGAACTGTTCTTCAAATCAGGTCTGCAAGATCAAGGAAAAGTTTTATAAGTAATCAGATAAACAGAGTTTTAAGTCAGTTACAATGGGCTCCCAGTATTATTTTCTGAAAGATAGTTATGGATAATCTTAATGCTTTCTTAAACCAAGAAGATAAAAACATACAGATAATTTAGATAGTAAGGATATATTCATTGGATATGCTTACTTAATGTAAAATATAAATGAAGCCATTTACCAAGCTATTCCTTTTGGACCTTGGCTCCAAGAAGTTCAATCAGATTAATATAGTTCCCAGTAGAATCTACCTTGTGCGTTAAGTATACTAACCTGGAAAGGTAATTTTAGCATCTGATCTCTGCTGTAACAGGAGCTTATTTTCACTATTAAATAAGAAGACACTAAAAGCTCGATGTAATAATCCTAAAAGCAAAATAAGTATGATTGGTCAGAAAATGCCAGTTATTTGTCCAATTTCCCCTCTTGCAGTTGAGATTATGACTAGCAACCTGTTGACAGTTTTGCTATTTTCCAGTCTTCTAACAGGAATTTCTGTATGGCTGTTATGGAGAATAGTTCCAGCAAACCAGCAAGACTAGTCACCAAGTAAAACCCCTTTTCACTTGGCAGTGTTGGCGGTTTTGATGCAGGCCAAATGCTCTTTCAGGAATAGTTAACCCAGGCTACTTAGTCCCTTGCTTTAGGGTGTGTGCGTGCGTGCATGCGTGTGAGGGTTCATGTTTCCCTTCAATACCTACTTATCTCTATAGCCTTCAGAATGACAGGCTTGAGTACTATGTTAATGGTCTATTCCTTTTTTAAGTGCCCAGAATAATTCTGAAACATCTTAGTAAAATACAAAAAGTGGTAAGAAATACTACAGGAGAGGCAGCAAGGTAAATTTCATTACTACACTATTTAACTGGAATGAAATGTAAAATATCATTAAGAAATGCATCTCTCAGCACCTGGGAGGCAGATTTCTGCAGAGTAGCCAGCCAAAGCTACACAGTAAGACTCTCCTCACCCCCAAAAGAAAAAAGCATTCCTTTTATCCCAATATTTTTGTCAGCTAACTGGAAATGTCTACACAAATCACTTTGTAAAAAATATTTTAAAACAGTACCTTTGTCAATGTTTTCATTCAGGTGACAGTTTTTCTTGGTGTCAGCCCCAATTTTATTGTCATTTTCATCAATAAGAATACACATCTCTGCTAGAAGTTGAACTTGTTGTTCATCGAGATGGCTGGTATTTATTTCTGGCATTGTGACAGAATGTCTGATTTGACCTAGAACACTAATATTGAAAAAGGTCATCATATTATAGTTTTCTAAATGGCATATACATGTAGAGAAGCATATCTATATTTGAGCTGAGGAGCTAATTCAGCCATTAAGCTTATAATTAATTATGCTTACTGTTCCCATCTGCAGCCTCACCACTCGACCCGCCGTGGGTTTCCCAAGGATGCCACTGGCCAAATACTCAACCCTACTTTGACCATCATTTCTCCTATGACAATCATACCTAGCCTTTTATAACAGTTGCTCTAAAGTGCCAAACACAATGTTCTATTCAAATTACTGAGCTGACACCTCTTGTAGCATTGGAAAATCAACTCCTCCTTTTGTGTATTTTTCTTTATATATTTTTCTATTCGTGATCTGGCTCCAACCTAATTTTTCATCTTATTTTTCCACAACAGTCTCTCAATTCTTTATTACATGTTCCCCCAAATCATTCCAAGTTTTTTTGCCATTTGCATCCTCAGCATGATTGCTAAAGAATGCCACACATCAATGTTAATTGAAATCTAGGTTTCAAAGTTCAATTCACAAACATTTAAACATTGTCCCATAAGATTTTACCCAATTTTTAACCTGGGCTCCTAGTTAGAAAAGATTTATGCAACAATTCTGTCAATTCTCCTAAGGGCAATATATAGATAATATTTTTGATGAAGAGGCAAAAACTTTATTCACTATATTCAAGTGGATGCTTTAGAGCAGTTCCTGTAATTTTTTTTTCTGAACAGTGAATTAGTATACTGTCAATTCTGCTTTTATAAGTGCAAGAATTAGACAATGCCTAAACTAGACAATGTGGAACTAGGTGCAGCTGTGTTCCAGTCAGTCTTTTATTTATGGACACTAAAATCTAAATTTCATGTCACAAAATGATTTTTTTTCTTACAATCTATTATTAGGTTATACTTCATATATCCTGACCTTAGTGCAGACACCTAATTTTCTCAACTTAAGTGTAAATTTAGACCACTTTCTGTATTGTAACATCTTTTGCACATCTGTATCCAGCAATTTCTAACTTTTCTAATCTTTGTAAGAGTTCCTTACATATCTTCTCTTTTTTTTAAAATAAGTTTTCCCACAATTTATTTTGAAGATTCTATGTGATCTACTTTCAAATATATAGATTACTGGAGTTAAAACATACCTCTGAACGGCTAATAAAACTTTCTAAAACTAAAAAAGAGTACAGAATGAACTAATTGGGGACAGGGGAATACCACTGATGACAATAAGGCTAAAATACTGAATACCAAAAAAAAAAAAAAAAAAAAAACCAAAACAACAGCAATAACAACAGCAGCAGCAACAGCAACAACAACAACAACAACCAGCAATGAGCTTAATGATTACAGGAAAGGACAAGTATTGTAAGAAATGAAAATGTTCTTCAACTGACAGGGAATATTTTCAACATTCATAGACTAATTTAAAATTCTAAGGTTGATTTCATTCTTGTGGAATTACTGAACTTTTTGAAAAAACGTCTTTAACTCATAATACCAGGATATTAAGAATCAACTTCATTTTCTTACCCATTTAAAGATAAGGTGTGGAAAATACACATCACCTAACTCAAGAAAAAGATCCAGGAACATATAGGAGAGGCGTCTCCATTTCTTTATAAAACTCACCTGGACATTTAACAACCACAACACCTGCAAATCCTCTCTAAAACCAGAAGCAAGCAGCCATCGACCTATTTATTCATTATTCGAAGAAGACAAGTGAGGTGCTCCATAATGGAGCAAAGACTAGATTTTCTTAAGTCAAGTCAGTTCCTTTTTTATAACTCAACTCCCCAAGGTCTATGAACCGCAGCATTTCTCGGACTACTGGATCGCTTCTCAGGGCGTCTCCACCGACAGACAGCCCGTTGGATCCGAAGCTCTGCCGCTGGGATGCAGCCCATCACCCAACCCGCCCCAGAACCAGTACCCAGCCCAAGGGGAGCAACAGTCCCAGGCGGACTGAACGTCAAATGCCCACCATGGCGAGCCAAGCTGGGAAACCGTGTTACCTCAGCCTCATCCTGCCACCCAGCACCTCCTGGTCCCCCGCGCCATCCCCTCAACAAAGTCACTCTTACCAGAGACTCCTGCTAGAAGCGCTTTGAAGTGCTGAGGTGCGCCGTATTTCAACGCTCTTCGCAGCAAGCCCCGCCTTCAGACACCGCCCCCTAACGGCATGTCCAATCACTCGCGCCAGTGCCCGTCCGCACCACATTTCCTCAGCCAATCGCCACTAGCGTAAGCCTGACGTCACGACCGCGCCAGGCAGGCGCGCGGTGGTGCCACCTCCGTGGCGCGTGGCTCAGGAAAACTCTCTGGAGGTTTCAAGAAACGGCTGCGGAACTGGGCCGCGAACGAGGGTGTTGGCGACTCCCGGTGCACAGCTGGGACGGTCGGCACGCCTAGCTGCCTCGTGGAAGGGAAGCTTCTCTACTGGGAAGGTGCCTTGAAGATGGTGCAACCCAATCGGCCACCAGCCAATGGCACCTTCGACCATGCCCGGGCTCGCCAATCAGCTGGCGGCAAGGCCAGGGGCGGGCCCCTGACCTGACATGGGTGTGCGTGCGTGATGACGTCAGACGCCTTGAGACGGGAGCTCTAGCTAGTGCAGTTTTTTCACAGGAACGCCTCCGCTTTTCTTCCCAGAGACCACTGCCCGATCAGTCCTATAGGGCGGAATGAAACTCCAGTTGGATGAACTTGATGAAAGTTAAGAAAAAGCAAGAAATCATTGTTAATGTATTGGTTTAGAAGATTTAACCCTGCTTCCCCAACATGTTATTCCAGTAAGAAAATTCTGTACATTTGCAGCAGCGCTAATTACCAAGGTGCTTTGCAATGTGGAATAAATTGTTCAGCAAAGTTAAATGAAGTTGGGGCAGGTTGGGGAACCAACGTTGGGACTGGATTAATTTGATAGTCATCAAACCATCATGTGACAATCCATTCTTAATAAATTTAGTGAAGCAAGGTTATATGTTAGAAGTCTTTCACTACAGGTTATATGAGGTTTGTGTAAATGAGATGTGATGGAATTGGTCGAAAGTTCATCTATTACATCAAATCGTTTATTTTTTTGTGATGTGTATGTGTAGTGTATGCATTATATGCATGTGTGTGTTCAGGTACATGATGTCTTCCTCTCACTTTTTTTAGTTAACATTTTAAAAATTACAGGTTTATTTATTTTGCGTGTGAATGGGCGTGGGCGTACCACAGTGCTCTGGTGGAGGACAGATAAGAGAGTCATATCTCTCCTTCCACCACGTGGGTTCTGAATAACATGTTCAGGTCTTCAGGCTTGGGGGCAGGTGCCTTTACCCATTAAGCCATCTCGCCCCTCCATCTTATTTTTTGATAGAGGGTATCTCATTTATTTTAGAGCGTATTGATTTAGCTGAGATTGAATAGCCAACAAATCCTCATGCCTCTGCTCCCCAGTTTGGGATCATAGATACCCATTGATAAGCCTGACTTTATACATGGGTGCTAGGAATTTGAGCTCATCATCAGTTCTTTATGCTTTCACACTTTACCCAACCCTCTTCCCAGTCCAATGCCTGTGGAATTCAATATTCTGAATTTGTCAGCTAAGCAGTGCAGTGCACCAGTTCTCAAACTTGTTGGTCTCTAGACACTCTGGACACAGAGCTGTGTGTGTTGTATTAGGTAAAATGTATGAAGAACGTTTTATGTGACAAATTAGTAGGCAAACAAGTATTTTCAGTAGCTTCCAGGTGATCACAATCATTTGTGTGCATATATATATGCACACAAACAAATATACACACACATATATATACAGGTGTGTGTGTGCATTTATATGTGGAGGTCAGTTGATGACAGGTCTTCCTCAAAAAAAATAAGGCTCTGTACCTTATTTTTTGAGATAGTGTCTCTCACTGAGCCTGGAGCTGGATTATTGGTTAGACTGGCTAGCTAGCAAGGTCCAGAGTTCTGCCATTCTTAGCCTACCCAGCAATGGGATCACAGGTACACTTCCAGGCCCAGTTTGTTTTTCATTTTTAATTGTCTCAAACTTCTATTTTTTTATTTTTTTTATTAAGAGATTTTCTATTCATTTTAGATATCAACCACAGATTCCCCTGTCCTCCTTCCTCCCACCCCCCAGCCTTCCCCCCAGGCCCAGTTTTTATGTGGATTCTGGGGTTCAAACTGAGATCCTTATCCTTGCATGGCAAGCACTTTACCTACCAACTGAGCCATTTCCCCAGCTCTGGTTAGTTTTTGATAAACAAGCACATGTGCTGGCTTTTCTTTCTGTTTTGTAATAGTGATTTCCCATTTTGAAATCTGGAACGTTTTCTTTTCTTTTTTTGAGGCAGTAGCTCACTGTAGCTCAGGCTGTCCTGGAACTCTGTAGACCAGGCTGGCCTTGAACTCATACAATTCGCCTTCCTAGTGCTGGGATTAAAGACATTCACCACTACACATGGCTCAGGAATTTGAAATTTAAAAGAAAACTTCATACTAATATTTCAGAATTCAGTGGTTTTAGTTGTAAACCTAAATACACATTTCCTATGAATGATTTTGTAATATGCATTGGTTGTTTAGGAAATAATGAGTTACTGAATTAAGCAAGTCTTTCAAATGTAGATGACACTTTTCATTATTTACTACCATGCAATCACAATATTATCAATAATCTTGAAACACATTAGGCACCTTTCCCTGTGGGTCTAGGACAGGAATGAAGCCTTGTGAAAACACTGTTAAATACTAGTAAGTCATTGATAATGGTAATAATAAGTTTTTATTGTAAATATTCCCTTTATGTTATTTTTTCCTTTAAATTATCTGAAATGGGAAGTGAGGGTTGATTGCCTAACTAACAGATACCCCCTCTCTGGTGCATAGAATTCTTTAAGCAAAAGACTACCAACCAACCAGCCAAGCAGCCAGCCACTCTGAATACTGGATGGACATCATGAAGCTACACAACAATGACAGCTGTGTACTGCTCAATTATTACTGCTGCAGCATGGCTCCTGTAGGTGTTATTCCAGATACAACTGTTTGAAATGGTTTACAGCAGATTATTTTTCCATCAGAAGCCTCTGTAAACTAAATGACCCTGTAGCTTTTCCCATCAAGATGAGGAGGGAGGCACACTAGAGAAATGGCTTAGCCATGAAGAACTGGCTGTTCTTGTAGAGGACCTGGATTCAGTTCCCAGTATCCACATGGCAGATCACAAGCATTTGTAACTCCAGTTCTGGGGATCTGACACTTTCTGGCTGCCACTAACAACCAGGCACACATGTGATACAGATATATAAATGCAGGCAAACACTTATTCACGTAACAATTTAAAATCTTAAAAAAAAAAAGTAGGAGCATTTTCTCAAGTGACCTAACAAAAGACCTGTGACTGGAGATTTTGAAGACAAGGTCTTGCTACCCACCACAGGCTAAACTGAAAAGATATAAGTAATCCAGATTAGCCTTGTACTAATGGTCTTTCCTCTATGACAAGGACAGTGTTTGAGATATGATGTAGCCTCATGCCGGTTTTGGACTAGTAGTATTTCTCCATCGCTGAGGAAAGTGTGTGAGATGTGATGTAGCTGATCTTGAACTTACCTTTGTGCCTGGGCTTCCTACGTGCTATGATTTCAGGCATGCGCCAACCATGCCTAGTTTGAAATATTTTAATGTACATGTTTGTTTTTATTTTATTTTATCAAAACAATGCTTGAAAAAAGGACAAGGGTTGTAGAGCTAGAAGGGAAATAAAACTTAGTAGCTCATGCACAGGTCTTTAGCTGTGTGTTATCTTTGAAAGTTGGAAGGAAGATAGTTCTAGACTCTAATATTTCAGAGAAACTCAGCAATAGTCCATAACTTCTAACTGGATTACTAGCCTTTGAGTTTTTCAGTACTTCATGGTAATAGTTTCCTTTCTGGGGATTCTTCAGCTTTTCAGATCCTTTCAACCTTAGTCCCAATTGGTAGATGCCCTCTATTTTAATTGAACTTTCTAGAGGACTAATTTAGAAAGTCCTGCACTCTTTTTGAATTGGCCTTTGCTATGGATTGCTTGATTTAGATTTATATATCTGCTTTTGTATAAGAATCTCATTCTGGTCTAACGAACAGTACCAAGAATGTGAGTACAAGGTTCAAAAGATAAGTAGAGATGAACAATATAGGAATTTAGAAAATAATTGCTTTTTTTATAATTACATAAGATTGCATGGTACATGTTGAACCTTTGGCATGATTTCAGAGGTTTTCTTCAACTATTACATTGTAGTAGTTTTGTAATCAGTTTTATGTATTTTATGTATTATGGGTGATGAGAAAAGAAACAAAGTGGTAGAATAATCCAACCAATAGACTGAGTTTTTAAAATCTTAAAGAAATATATATGGAAATTCTTTTTCCTTATTGCTCATGGTTTGGATAGGAAATAAGCTTCAAAGCTCATGTGTTGAAGGCTTGGTCCCCAATGCAGCAACACAGCAGGAGTTAGAGCTTGAGCCTGGGGTCATGATATCATAAGCATTATGGTATTATCAGTGGATTAATCCCTTAGTGCACTGGCAACTGAAGGAATTGTTAAGAAATAATGAAAATTTTTAGACTAGAGCCTAGTTGGAGGAACTAGGTCACTGGGAACACATTCTTGAAGATTATATCTTGCTTCTGCCCATGCCCTTCCTGGTTTCAGTAAGGTGATCAGTTTTGCTCAATCATGCCCTCTCTATCATGATGATCATCTTCCTGTCCCCACAGGCTCAAAGTCAATACAGCTTAGTGACCATGAACTGAAATTTCTGAAATGATCAACTAAAATTAATAATTCCTCCTTTGTTTACAGGTATTTGATCACAGCAATGGAAAGCTAATTAACACACCCAGTTTGAGAAATATTCAATGAGTGTTACAGTAAAGTCAGAGGATCTGGAGAGGGGTTCATATACCCATTGTTGAAGATCATGCCTGAGACCTCATGTGTGT